CGCGCAAGGTAGTGAAAAATTACTTGTAATATCCCTTTAGTCATTTCCCGAATCGGAAGCTAACTTCAGCTTCGTATCTCACGAGACATTGTAGAAGAACTCGGACTTGTAGAGAAGCTGGATCCACCATTACCTGTTCTGGGTATCACCGGTCAAAGAATCACAGCCATCACTCATTGGGTCAGCAATAGGCATGGACTGAATACCGGTTTCACGGTATACCACGGTATAAAAAATTCACGGTGTCAAAACTACAAAAATTTTCTGTAATACGTGCCTATGGTTTAAAAGGTTTTTTTTTTTTTTGGTTTTTTTATGTCTCGTCAGAGAGAAAGAGGTGAAATCCTTCCGCTCGTGTTCAGACTTTGACCCCGCCCCCGCGCACCCCGTAGCTCTTCAAGTAGCACTCAGCTGCGGCCAGTTTTGCAGATTGCAAGATGGCGGAAGGAGGCGAGGATCTCCCAGAACTTCCCCCCCGTCTAAACGAATTAAATCGGCTATATGGGGATACTTTGGCTACCGTAGAAAAACAGATGGCAACGGTTTGGAGGAAGAAGGTAATCCTACATGCAAAACATGCTTGCGGAGAGTGGCAGCCAAAGGAGGCAACACGTCGAACATGATAGCACACCTACGAGAGCACCACCCGTCACTGTTTGCTACATACAAGGTAAAGTTATGCTATGCTATCTTGAAATGAACGAACTACTTTTAGCATCAGACAATGGTGAAACAGGCTATCACTGCRTTACTGTGGCTTATTGTGTCAGTCACAACTTGTTTGAAAGAGTGTTGTGGAGTTGATGAATTGTGTATTTAGTTAGCTTTAAGTGAAAGGCAAAAGAACCGAGTCCCTTCGTAGCTTAGTCAAGCAGCTCTTTAACTGAACGCGCATTTCTTATAAACATTAAAGGGGAATGAGTTTTCTGCATTACGTTTGATCAAAAATGCGACGGAGTATTATGTCCAAAGTCCAGGCATTTTTTTTTCTAAATTACTAGAGTTGAAGTAAAAAATTACATTAAATTTGACTAAAGTTTTTAAATTGTGTGAACTCCTACACACACACACACAAAAAAAAAACAGTCTTACCACTGCCTTAATATGAGGAATCTTTAAAAAAAAAAAGAAATATTTATATTTTAACATGTCAGCTGCTGTTTAGCTGAGCTGGTCACATCAGATATTGATAACTCTTAAGCTTTTTTTCTTATTGAAACAAACTTTTTTCTCCTAATTTGACAACTTTCTTCTGTTAATTATATTATGACAATATTCTTTTAATACAACTTTATTCTGGTATTATTACAACTTTAGTCTTGTAATTTTCATATAAAAACAACTTAGTCTGGCCCTACTCTGTCTGTCATACTAAAAACAGCTTCTAAAGAAATTTAAAGTTGATTGTTGTAGAAAATATAGTGATAGATTAATTTGAAATTCCAGTTAAATTCACATCTATTTTAACTGCTTTCTTTTTTAGAATAACGATGGCTCTGGCGGCTACAAGTCATATAAAGCACCTCAAGTATCACCTCAAGAATCACCTGCAGCCACTGCTGACTAAGAACAGGAAACCAGCACTTCCACTGCCTCCTTTGCTGGTACAAAAAAGAAAGACAAATCACTGTCTTGTTTGCTGAAAGAAATAACATCAGCAAAACAGCAGAGAGTTCAAGCTGTAGATGGCTTACCAAAAGAGAGAGTGAAAATTGAG